AGGAGAAGGGATTGCGGCGTGACCATCCCCCCTGGGGGGTGATTTCTCGCTTTCTGTCTCTATGTCTCTCTCTGTCTGTCTGGCGAGCGCACGCGCCCTACAGTGAAAATCTCTCCAAAAAAAAAAAAAAAAAAAAAAAAGTTCTACTATATAGCTCTCATTGAGGTTATCATTTAAGCTCCATCTTCCTTTTTTCCTTCCTTCCTTTCTAAGGAGGATTTCATTTCTTAAGCATCATTCTATCTTGGAATAAGAAAATCAATTTCCTCATAAAGGTCACTGTTTCCTTTTTTTCCACATGTAATAGCTGCATACTCCTTGGAAGACATCATTGCTACAAAAGCTGCCTCTTGTACACATGCTGATCCCACTGTACAATTATCAGGAAAACTCAGGAAGTTAAAACAGTGACAATGTGACTACCTTTCTCCTCTGGATTCCAAAGCCATTTCCCTATCTGTATCTGCCTCCAAACTAGAAGAATGCTTTCACAGAGAAACTGAGTTTGAAGAATAGTATTTGACTCTGCTAGTGCTTTTGTGTGGGTCCAGACTATTTTTGAGCACTTGAAAGAGCATTCTTATACATGTTGATAGTTTCCACAAAAGCAGGGGGTTTTGTCGATCTGTCCACTAATGTAGCTGCAATGACTAGAACAGTGGTGAGCATACAGTTAAGTGCTCAATAAGTAATCATTGAACCAATAAATACTGATCTGATGTTAAAAAAAGTTCCTAAAATAAAATTCCACTGTGAGTTATAACATACATACATACATACATACATACATAAAGGGAATCTGGGGCATCTATGCCAACAAATGGACAGTACCACACACCTGAGAGAAAGGCCAATCTAGGTCATGCAGTAAACATGTAGTCTGCTCTACCATGGAGCCCCAGGCCAGGGCTAGGATTTTTCTGCTAGGATCTGTCCTTATGAAGAGGTATAAGAATTAAGCCATGGCCAGATAACTAGGAAGACTCAGAGTTGACAACTTCCTTTTTTACATGCTCTAATTTTAACGTAAGAAGTCACTGCCTATCTTTCAATTCCCCTTCTTCTAGGTTTTCTAGACACAAAGCCATGGCTCAGAATCCTGTCACTCCATGCTTGGGATGGCCATTTATTGAAGCTGGTATGAGTTCTGGGGAGAATAGCTGCCACTCTGTCAGCCCCAAAACCACATAGCCCAGAGTCACAGAGGTTCTGTTCTAGATTCAGTTTATCTATATTACTACGATAATTCAGTATGATATAAATGTGGACATTTATATAAGCACTTAAGTCTTTTCAAGATGTTGCCACATTTTTTATTTCACTGGCAGTGAGGAAGAATAGTGTTATTCTGCCCACTGCACATCAAAACCTGGGCCCTCCCCAGAGACACACAGAAGAAGAATCCAACCTCCCCATCTGTGTCTGAGGCCAGAACTGTTCTCAAGGTATCTTCAGGATGGAGTGGTACAGGCAGAGAGGAATATAAGGAGAAAATGCCTTAAGAAAAGGACAGAAGGGAACTATGTCAACACTCAGGAGGAAAAGGAAGGACCAGAACACTGACAAGACAATGAGAGTACTGGAAACAGAGAAAGGGAGAAACGATGGTAAATAATTGAGGAGTCAAGTGAGAGAAGACAAATATACCACCTCAGGCTAGGTGGGGCAGATAGAGGCCACTCCTCATAAATAACTCACAAACTGTTTTTTACACATACAATTTTGCTTTTCACATAGCCTGTGTAATAATTCAAATACAGCTGTGAGGAATCCTTGGGCAGACTCAGTTTAGGTCCTTGAAGCCATGGCTCCTCAAACCTCTATTCAGTGAGGCTGGCATGGGAATGGACTGCAGAAGCTTTTACCAGAAAAGTCCTCAAAGCTGACACGACGACACCCTAATTCTTCATCACAACTGGAATTTGAGGCTGAGTTGTGCCTTTTTAAATCTTCCCTCCCCCCATGAAATCACAGCTTAACACCATTGGAAGGCAGCCCAATAAACTGACCCAAATAAAAAACCTTACACTTCTAATGACCCAGAAAATTTATGATCCTTCCACCAACAGAGCAGATAGAGCCCCAAGGGACTGTTTCCTGGGATGACTTCCGGCTGAGTCTGGTGATATCTAAGAAATCATTTATTCTACCCAGGGACCTGTGAAAGCAGAATGGAACATCATCCTAGGGATAACAGTGCCAGGTGACCAGAGGACAACAGGGGAAAAAAAAAAAAAAAAAAAAAAAAACCAAAAAAACAACTTTGTTGGGGTACTGCTAGCCCAAGCCTCCTACTATTCCCTTCTAGATGTGATAAGCTCTCCAGTCATTTTGGCTTTTCATGTGCTGCTAAAGCAAAGCCTATAGAAACTTGAAAACCAAAGGTCTACCCAAGTATGTTAAAATGAGAAAAAAAGAAAAGCTGTTAACATCAGAGCAAGACTGAATTGGTCAATAATCCCTAGGTTCCTTAATCTTTTAAATATCTCTAACAGGAAAGCTATTGGAGATTTTTTTATTCTGGATAGAAAAACTGGAAAAGAGAAAGAGAACCAGGTTTATTTCTTTTTCTCTAAGAGGATCAGAGTCTTGTTATTTGAGGCCTGAGAAAGAGTTATGAGCAGAGAAAGATAATGAAGAGGTTGCCCCATAATTCCTGTGGATACAGTGCACATTCATCCTTTTTTACCACAGAAGCTGGCAAAATCCTAGAGAAAGAATGTCTTTTAGTCTAGTTTACAGAGAATAAGGATGCTGTCCTGTGTGGGAGGACACTGAAGATCTGTGTCTTGATTAGGAACTCAAACAAGCCTTTGATTATGATTACACAGCCTCCTGGGCTACCATATTCCCTAGTCTAGATTACGGCAATAGCCTCCTATCTGGTCTCTCTGTTTCTACCCAAGCCTCTCACCTCCACTGTAATTCTCAACATAGAAGCTGGGGGATCCTTTTAAAAGTTAATCCAGGGCCATATGGTGGGATGGTAGTCAAAGTGGCTAGATGGCCAACTGCATGGTTCGAGTCCTGGACCCAACAGCTTGAAAATCGTGCCAGGCACATATGTGTGCATGCTCAAAATCCCAAGAGGAGAATAGAGGAGAAAGGACTCCAGCATGGTCATTCCCCCTAGAGGGGAGGGTGATTTCTCACTTTCCCTATTTCTCTCTTTCTCTGCCTCTCTTTGGCAAGTTCAAGGGTCCTAGAGAAAAATCTACTAAAAAAAAAGTAAATCCAGTCCCATCATCCCTCTGCCAAACAACTTTCAGTAATATCCCACATCACTCTTTTCCATGCTACACACCCTCCATTACCTCTAAGAGCTTTATCTACTTGCCCCTCCCGCTTCTCTTAGTTCCAGCTTCACTGACATCCTTGTGGTTCCTTGAACACACTAGGAATGCACTCACTTTTCCTCTTGCTTAAGATTCTCCCTCTCAACACTGCCAATCCCTACCCTGCTCTATTTTCTATAGTCTTTATCCTCTTTAAATGTATTATTTATAATTTATTTATGTTTGTCTGTCTGCCTCTGCAAGAAAATAAGTTCCAATTTTTTTCAGAGATGTTGTATCGTAAGTACCTGGAACAGAGCCTGGGACTTAACAGGCACTCAATAAATTTATTTGTTGAATAAATAAGTGGCTTCTCTTGGCTCCTTCCCCACAGCTCCGCTTAGCCCCTTTTGAGCTAGATCTTCATTCAAAAGGTAATACTGAGAGGCAGAGTGGTCAAAATTACAAGAGGATAGATTTAGGGTCAGACAGGCCTTATTGTAAGTACTAGCTCTACTACACACTAGCTGGATGACCTTGACAAATCACATAACTTCTCTGTTCCTACTTTTCCTCAGTTATAAAAATGGATTAATAAAAAAGCAGCTATGGAAGTCGATGAATTAATGTGTACAAAGCTCTTGAAGTTGTGCCAGATACATAACAATGTTCACTAAATAGAAATTTGATCAATGGTTCTTAGATTCGAGCTAAAATTACAAAGAGCATGATATTCCCGACCTTGTCTCTCTGACTCCTTAACCTTTCTGCCTTACCTACTAAGCTCTCCTCTCACTGGTCACTGTCCTCTAACCTTTTCCAGACTCTCAATTTCAGCAATTTCTTCTCTGCCCTAGAATTTTGAAACTTGTTGTTTACCATGCCCAGAATGCTCTAATCCAAGGACTAGCAAACTTCTTCCAAATGGTCTGATGGCAAATATTATTTACTTTGTAAACAATGTGATTCTATCACACTTAGTCAACTCTGTTTTACCATGAAAGCAGCCACACAAAAAAACATAGGGGTAGCTGTGTCCCAATACAATTTTATTTACAAAAACAGGCATTTGGCCAAATTTGGTCCATGGGTAGTAGTTTACCATTTGTTGCTCTAGTCCTTCCTCTTCACTTAGCTGACCTCTAATCATCTTTTGCTGCTCAGCCTAAATGTTACATCCTTTGAAAAGCCTCCCTCGTCATCTCTGAAAAGGTTCTAAGTTTCCCTATTATACATTCCCATATCATCCTCTGGAGCCTTTATCACAATCTTAAATTATCTCATTAATTGTTAATTTGTTCAATTGTTCATTGTTTAATTGCTTGTCTTTTTAGACTACAAACTATATGGGACAGGGATATGTCTATTTTACCTCTGCTGTATCCTGTGTTAAGAAAAAAAAAAAAAGTAAAGTAAAGGGACCAACAGATGGTGTAATGGTTACATCGCTGGACTCCCATGTAGTCGACCGTGGTTCAAGTCCTGGACCCAGAAGCTTGAAACTCACACCAGGCATGTGGGTGTGTATGCCCAAAATCCTGAGAGGAAAATGGACAAGAAGGGATTGTGGCATGGCCATTCCTCTGCGGAATGATTTCTCACTTTCTGCCTCTCTCTGTCTCTCCAGCAGGCACATACACCCTTATAGCAAAAAATCTCTTTAAAAAAAAATGAACAGGGACCAGCAGTTAGCGTAATGGCTATGTCTCTGGACTCCCATGTAGTCGACCATGGTTCAAGGCCTGGACCCAGTGGCTTAAACTCACGCCAGGGGCATGTGCATGCATGCCCAAGATCCTGAGGCAAGAATGAAGAAGAAGGGATTGCAGCAGGGCAAACCCCCTGGGGAGGGGGTGATTTTTCACTTTCTGTCTCTCTGTTTCCCTGTGTCCTTCTGGCGAGCGCATGCGCTCTATAGCAAAAACCTCTCCAAAAAAAAAAAGAGAAAAAAAAATGAACAAATAAAATCAAGGTAACATTCCAAATGAAAAAATGGTTGGCACTGGCCTCTAAGAATGTATCTTACTACAATAGATATTGGCTCAGATTAAAAATACCCTATGCCTTTGTAGAGAGGTAAAAATGTTGATGCTATTTTCTCAGGGCTTAGGACAGAGAAATTTATTTTTGGATCTGTTAGTTGTAAGTCAGATATAAGGTCAAAGAAATCCAGTACCTGATGGACATAATATTCAAGATCAAAGAGCGCAGCAATCTTCTCTTCCAGGCTGGAGCTGGAACTATTGAATTTATTGATCAACCGTGCCATGATCTGCATGTCAGTCTCAATGACAACATTCAACTCATCAAAGTCCTTCTTCAGTTCCTCAATGGGGCGGAAGAGCCGTGTCACTTCAGCTTGCCTTGCCTAAGAAGAATAACAAAGAGATGACTAATCAAATCAGTTGGAGACATCTCGTCAAGATTTCTACAGTCTAACATGGATGTTCATCCTCAAAGAACTATTGTCCTAAGAGTCATGATCTTCTCTGATACGCACTATCAAAACTTCTGATAGTTTCTAAGAGAGCCAGAGTCCTTAGGCTCTGCCCATACAGACCTCTGCCCTCAAAACACACTCTAGACTTTCCAAGTTTCACCCTTCAAGTCCAACTTTCAATGTTTAGAAAGAATAGAATCACGGAAGTTACGGGGAGCGACACAAGTTCTCCTTCAACCGCTAATGTGAGATGGCTGAGGTCTAAACTGAAATAATCTACACCCTGGTTTTCTATCTCCCACCATCATAGAATATCTTGGCTCTTCCCTACCCGACCCAGAAACATTTTAGGGAAATCTGGACATAGGAAACTGGGTAAGAGCTGTCAGAGCAGGAGTAATTTGCTGATGAAAATTAAATCCCTGTCATTACTGTCAGTCTAACCACAGGTGTACAATTTGTTCAACTGTTTGAAATGGCTAAATTACGGTATGTGCCATAGTCAAGTCTCAATTTTCTCTTAATCGCTCCCCACCCCACACATATTTAATGATTTTTAAAATGAAGCTATATTGGAAGTAAATAAAAGACTTTAATTGGCTATTTTATACAAGTGACATTCCCTGTTTTCTTCTCAATTTTAAAGGATAATGCTTATAAAGAGAGTCCGAAGGTCACAGAGGTTTATGTATCTATCTTCCAAGAAAAATTAAAAGGCAAGAACATTTATAAAAAGAAGAATGATGAGCAGTTGTCAGCTACAAACTACTTGCCTATTACCAATGGGTTTCACTCCCCAGTTACAAGCACTCCATAGAAATGCCTACTAAAGAAATGAATTGCTCTCTCTCAAAAAAGATCAAGCTCCACCAAAACAATCACATCCATGGAGCACCTCATCCTGCTTCTTTGAGCTAAAACCACAGTAAAATGCCTTCCCTGCACTCAGCTAGAGGACTCTGAATGGCTGCCAGAGCTACACAGAGGTCTGAGAAGACTGAGTCACTTCCCAGAGCTGTGCGATGACAGGCAAGTGAGCTTTACAAAAGTGATATGCGCCTGGCCCTTAGGAAGGCCATTAACATGATGATGATGATGATGTGATAGTGATGATAAATAAAATTTTTACTTTGAAATTAATTAAACTCACAGAAAATGACAAAAATAACACAGAGTATCATGTACCTTTCATCCAGGTTCTCCCAGTAGTAACTTCTTATACAACAACAGTATTTAGAAAAAACAAGAAAAAGATGGGCCAGACAGTGGCGTAGTTAAGGTAGCCAGATCCCATGTGGCTGAGTGTGCATTTTGAGTCCCAGATCCAGAGATGTGAAAAGAACACTGGGTACACATGGGTGTACATGCCCCAAATAGAGAGGAGAAAGGAGGGCAGGGATATTGTTGTGTGGCCATTTCCCCTAAAGGGGGTTTTCTCACTCCCCCCATTTCCCCTAAAGGGGGATTTCTCACTCCCCCAATCTTGGTAAGCTCATGAACCCTATAGCAAAATTTAAAACAAACAAAAAACAATGAAAGAACATAGGGACAATACTGTTAATTATACTATAGGCCTCACTGAGATTTCACCAGCTTTTACATGTACTCTTTGTATGTATATGTGTATATCATTCTACTGTATCCAAGCTACATATTTGTGTAACCACCAGAACAATCAAGCTATAGACTGTTCCACCATCACCAAACACCACATTGTGCTGCCCCTTTACAGCTGTACCTTATACTCCCACTCGATTCTTTCCTATCCGTGTGCCCTTAAAAACACTAATTTGTTCTTCATCTCTGTAATTTTGGCACCTGGAGAATGTTATGTAAATGGGATCATAGTGTATAACTTTTTCTTTTTCTTTTTTTTTTAAATTTATTTCTTCTATGAGTAAGAGACAGAGACACATCACCCCACATGATCTTGATGTCACAATCCCCTCCCAGTTTCAGCTAGCTCCAGATCATGGACAGTATGTCTAGAGTACACAGGGAGATCTCTGGATACAAACATAGAACCTTCCCATGTGGGTCAGCCTCACAGAGCACTGCATTTGACCACTGCACTACCATCCAGTCCCCTGCAACCTATTAAGATTGACTTTTCAGGCCGGCAGGTGGCGTGGTGGTTAAGAACGCTGGATTCCCACATGGCTGACTGCGGTTTAAGTCCTGGATCTGGTGGCTTGCTTTCTCACTTTCTCTCTCTCTCTCTCTCTCTGTCTGATCAAACTGGAAAATAATAGTAATAATAATAAATAAAGTTAAACAAAATAATTAAAAAAAAAAGGATTGACTTTTCTCACTGAGCAGAATGCCCTTGGGAGCTATATGTTACTATATATATCAATAGTTCATTCTCTTTAATGCTGAGTAGTACTCCACTGTAAAAATGCACAGTTGTTCAGCCATTCACCTGCTAAAGAACATCTCAGTTGTTTCCAGGTTTTAGCTATTTGAATAAAAGTGCTATGAACATTTACATATGGGCTTTTGGTTAAAATAAATTCTTATCTCTCTGGGATAAATGCCCAAGAGTGCAATTACCAGGCTACAGGATAGCATATATATTTTTTTTTTCCTTTTTTGTTTTTTTGAGAGTTTTGTTTGTTTGTTTTTGCTATAGGGTGCATATGCTCGCTAGAAAGACAGAGAGAGACAGAGAGACAGAAAGTGAGAAATCACCCCCCAGGGAGGATGACCATGCTGCAATCCCTTCTCCTCCATTCTCCTCTTGGGATCTTGGACATGCACACACATGCGCCCAGCATGAGTTTAAGCCACCGGGTCTGGGACTCGAACTCCAGTCAACTACATGGGAGTCCAGCGACATAGCCATTACGCCAACTGTTGGTCCCAATAGCGTATGTTTTGTTGCACTAGAAACTGCCATACTATTTTCCAGATTGGCTGTACCAAACAAAAGCCTATATGCAAAATAACTGCCCATGAGAATATTGACACTGCTACTGTGTGATCAACTCTAGAGGAACTCAGTAAACTTATATCTTAAATAAGAAAACTGATAAAAAGGATAAAGTAACATTGGGAAAAAAATCGTATTACAGGAACTCTCTAAGAAAGTTCATGACATTGAAAACACAAAAGATAAAATGTTGGAAGCTGATCCTTTTTTTTTTTTTAATTTATTTTCTGGGGGGGAGAGATTTTTGCTATAGGGTGCGTGTGCTCGCCAGACAGACAGAGAGAGACATAGAGACAGAAAGCGAGAAATCACCCCCGCGGGGGGATGGTCATGCCGCAATCCC